GAGGCAAGGCAATCGAGCTATATCACAGCCACCCTTCTCTCAACTACCGGCAACCCTCAAGGACTCCGCGGGCCGAGCAGCTCTGTGACAGGTAGACTTTGTGTCTGCTGATTGATCGACATCCGGCCAATGGTTTCCAAGTCCCGGACTATCGGGGGTAGATAGCACGGCAGTGCCGGTTGCGTGATGTTCAACTTTAAGAGCAAAAAAAATGTTTCAAGAGTTTTGGTGTTCATTTATTCAGATTCTAATAATTTCTGAAGGGGTGAAAAACTTTTCCGATGTTTGAGAGTGTTGACTTTATGTAGGCCTATACCGTGAATAATATTCAACAAATTCTATTCAACTTTAAGAAGACATTTTTATAACGAGGCATTTTGGTACACAAGTTAACTAGTGATGTTGAACTCCAAGAAAGTATTTAGTATTTGGAGAGAAGCTTCTTTCCTGGAGTTCCATGTAAAGTGACAGAGGTCTTAATCAAGGTTTTATGAAAGGTAAGGGTAAAGGGGGATGAACCTGTGTTCACAGGAACGGAGAGCAAATCTCTCTCTCTCGAAGCGATTGGGCCAGACTCGAGTCCATGAAATGCTGCTGTGGGGGGGGGGGGGGTCGCCAAACCTCATCCACAGCGAGTCTGTTACCTTCCCAGCATTGAATAATGCCGGTAACCATTTAACACCTGGGTTGAGAGGAGTAATTGAGGTAAAACGCCTTACTCAAGGGCACAACATACACGGCCATGGTGGGGTCCGAACCCACAATCTCACGATCATGAATCCTGTGCCCTACCGCTAGACCACACATGCCCTACCATCGACCATTGGGATCCTTTTCCTAAATGCTCTACGAGGAAGAGCTTAAGAACTCGAAAGACAAACATCTGACTGCGATTGAACCGAAATCTTTTATTCAAGATTTTGCGAGAGAGAGAGAGGAGAGGTATTCTGATGAGGTTTCAATTCAAACCTCGATCATCGATTCGATTGAAAAATGAATTGTAAAGCAATTTAAAATCTTGAACTCGTGTTCATAGTTTGTCGCATTGATTCTTCTTTCCGAATGAAGAATATTCATAGCTCTAATTGAAGGACGTCTTGTAAGCTGTACATTTAAAGCAGTTTTTAGAGAAGGTATCACTAAGTGGTGATATGAGGAGTGATGAATCGCCTTCGTTTTGGTCTTCTTTCGTGATCTCCGATTTTGGATTTTTGTTGGTACCAGACAAAATTGATCCAAAGCGCACGATGTAGAGATCATATGATCATATGACTAAGATGGACGCACAACAGTTCACAGTTTATAGTATTGGCCAGGAAAATAATTGTGTCGTTGTTCAAAACCACGAACTAAACAGAAGTAGGCCGTGCGATGACACCAAATTGAACCGTCAAGGGCCCCATATCAACGCATCAATGTGGATCATCAAACTCGAGAGCCTCCCTCGACACAAAGGAAATTGCGAGAACTAAAACAAAATATAAAGATCTGTTTTTACCTCCTTACAATGACGAGTTCGCTATGTTTGCATTTCGAGGCTGTGATTCACTTTCATGTCTGCTTTTGCCGCCACATTTATTGCCTTATACAGATCACGGACTGGCAAGATATAAAGGGGAATTCTTCTTGGAAGACTGAAGTGATGGCAGACACAATCGTTTCATTTTTCTACAGAGAGAACCATTTTCTTGTGACGATAAAAAAGCGGGAGCAAATATGTTGAACTCTGATGCTCCTTGCATTCATTATTACCTCCGCCAAGGAGGTTATGTTTTCATCGGCGTTGGTTAGTTGTTTGTTTTTTGGTTGGTTGATTGGTTTGTCTGTTAACAAGATAACTCAAAAAGTTATGGACGGATTTTCGTGAGAATGTTTTAGAGGTGGTCCTTGGTACAAGTGCAAATCGATTACATTTTGGGAAGTGATTTTTTTTAAAAGGATTCTTCACCATTTATTGCGAGTATTTCTTTTGCGTGTACCGATGGCGGGGAATAGTTAAGCCTTGGCGGAGGTTTGCGCACTCTGAGTGCTTTCTGACTAGCTCCGCCAAGGAGGTTAGTTTTCATCGGATTTGGTTAATTTGTTTGTTGGTTGGTTTGTCTGTTAACAAGATAACTCAAAAGATCATAGACGGATTTTCATGAATTTTTGTTTAGGGGTGGTCCTTGGTACGTATAAATTGAATATTTTTTGGAAGTGATCCGGATATGGGTCTCGATCCAGGATATTTTTAAAGGATTATTCACCATTTATACGAGTGTTTCTTTTGGGTGTACTGACAGTATAGCGGGGTATTGTTTACTGCCCGGCGGAGGTTTGCGCTCTCTGAGTGCTTTCTATATAGTTGACAATTAAATGACAGGTAAAGGTGGATGTTTCAGTGGAATGGAGAGCAAAAAGAAATACGAGAAAAGAACTTTGAATAAACAACAACCACCTTGAGAAAAAAAGTTTAAGTTATATGTTAAATATCCAACTATTGATACCCAACTGCTGAGAAAACAACATGTATATATGCCGAATTCGGTAGACAAAATGACATTTACTTGGGCAACAAATTAATGAGTAAACCATAAATAACCTCGACACTGCTCTTTCAATGAACACACATCTACATTCAGAACGATAATCCAGTTTTCAACAAATCGATGCCAATTGTGATAAAGAGAGAGAAAGAAATGAGTCACTGTTATTATATTAACGGAAACCAAAGCACAATCGAGCCCAACAGCCAATAAAACACCGGAACGGCAACCCCCCGAGGAGCGCTACCTCCCGCCCCAAGAGGGTCGCAGTCCACACGACTAAACAAGTACTCGAACCGCGCTATCTTACGTGACAGCCAACAACAAATTAAACAGCAGCATCAAACCGGAGAATTGCGATGGTCTTTCGCAGATTAGAACCTGAGAAGAAATGAATTCATTTCTGGCCGACGTGATGAGTTTACTGCTCCAACTCGCTTCAACTTAAAGCTCTGTGGTCGTTGTCAAGCCGGAGTGTCAAAATTGTGTCAAATGAGCGACTACTAGTAATTCATTTGAGTCAGCTCTGAGCTCGTTTTTTTCTGTGGTGTATGACTGCTTTGATTTGAAAACGCTATAAAATTGGGAGCCTCTTTAATTGCCAAAACTACTATATGGCGCGGAGTTTGGTCACCTGCCATATTTGTGAAGCGGTGTAGGCGCTTGGTTGCCGGATTGGCTCACCACCACTCACAAACGGTGAGTGCACGAGTGTATTAAAAAGTAATCGACCAATGGCCGGCCAGCCAGGCGAGTATAGTCCATCACTGTTACTGTGTGTACACTGGCATACAGCGGCAGTACTCGGTGGAATGTCACAGTACAAGGCACAAAGTTTTGGCAAGGCACTTCAGCAGTACTACGGTGAATTAGTTGAGTGAATCACGACCGTGCGTGCACAGCAAGTTGAATGAAAGTTTAGTTTGACAGTTGTCTCAGAGATAATCGCCAAGCTTGAGAGTTGAGACGACAATCTGGAAGGGATTTCTCTACAATATTCTGGGTTTCTTTTCTGAGTACTTTCCATCACCAGAAAACAAGATCACGACCGTCAACGCTATTTGTGACCAGTATCAGCGCGGAATCAAATTGGGACCAACTTTGTGTTTTGAGTGAAAAAAGATAAAGAAATAATTTGGTCCTCATTCTGCAAGTTCCAACTTCACGTTTCAGCCAATCACGAGCTTCGTAATGCAAACTTAGGTGTGGAAAGTACCAGTTTTTCAGCAGACGACAGGGGGAATCTTCTGCTCGCCGGCAAACACGCGAACGTGACACCGTAATGGATACCCACAGCCTCGACCGTAGACTCACTTAACTCGGCGCCAAACAAAAAATATATATCGTGCGGCAACTTAGCACCTGTTCGAAATAGAGTTAACATTTCTGGCGCGAAACCCAACCATGTTACCTCTATAATTGCACTTGTCAACCCAAACGGAAAAGGGTCGTGAAAACACGCCCCATATTAAGAGTTTTTAATAGAGGTGGCTCCGATGTGGTGAATCCTAAAAGTGTCTGTTTGTGAAAGCTGAGGTGCAAATCTGCATTCATGCGTAAAAACGAAAGTGGAATTGGTCATTACTTTTCTTCCACCGCCCGTGATATCACAGTTACGTAATAATATTTGTTGGTGCATTCTACAGTGTACGATGATTCACCAACCACTGTCTGGCGAGTTAACACGAGACGTCTTTCCTCATGAAAACAACTTACCGCAAACCTTTCATGAAATGAAAGTGGACTGTTACCCTGGCTATTAAAATCCAAACTGTAAGATCAGTTTTATAATTGTGCGTCTACCTGTTCACGACATCAAAGTGCGCCTATCCGTTCATTGAGAGGAACTGTAACCTTCTTTTCTTCTCCAAGCAAGGCTGAAACATTCCAGCGCAAGTTGTATGATATCTGTTTTCTCAAGCGATCATCCCGTTTGTCAACGTCTAAATCGGGATCAGCGGACACCGCTCGGCACGTGTGAAACACCGGAGCTGTGGATGGATGAATGAGTGAGGCACACCCCGGCTTAAGGGAGGGGAGGAAGTTTGCTTATCACCGGAGGGGACAAAGGTGGTTTAGTCGGGACATCGGAGTGGTGGGGAGGTTGTCCCTAACGACACTCTAGCTCCGAGGAATCACAGAGCAAATCTTCAGATCGGCTAGCGAGTCTGTTTGCCACACTCAGGACTTGTCAAATGTTACTGGAGAGCTATACTACCCAAGCGGGCTTCACACACACGTCACCCTTACAGGAAATATTGCTGTAAATCTGCAACTAAGTGGTACTCTTTACACAGAACGTCAAGTTGATATTACCAGGAAAGTTTTCTTCAATGGATAATTCATTCTGACGCGCCCAAATTCAACAAATCGCGAAATGAGCTAGGAACCAAGGCAGTCAAGCCCTTGGAGTTGTGAAAACCAACGCATTGAAGAAGAACAATTCATCGATCGTCCAATCATTCGAAATTACTCGTTGATGTAAACTAAGGACTAGGATAAGTACAAGGCAACAGTTACCAAATCATTCTCGTGAACTTTTCAGACGTCCCGAGATGATCCAGATCCGAATAACAACACGAATTGACACTGCACGCTCCTCAGAGACAAAAGTGACTCAGTGAATAATAGGTCGACGCGTGGAGTGAAATCTTGTCATTGTTATATACCTCTCCTGGAAAAAAAACCTAACTATGGTTTTGATAGACTTGGAGATGGTGTTAGTGCTGTGCTTGAGTGTGCTGCTGGCGGTTGTGGATACGGGAGAAACCTGGCGAGTCAAAACTAGAGGTAAGCAAGTTTAGGATTGAAGTGCATTTTATTAAAGCCTGAGTGGCATCTTTCTGGAGACAGGATGAGGTAGAAACGTGAGGTTCACCTTGCTGATCATATTGGTTGAATCAGTGGCATTTCACGACCGTCCCATGTTTGTTTGGCTTGGGTTCACATCTAACCATTGCCAACATGATGATTTGGGTTTCAAGGACGCTCTTGATATTGAAAATAATATGTTTGGCTTTCCTCAAGATTAATTCATTTCTCTGTCCTGTCAATAGTGCCATGTGCCACATTTGGTGAAAATTTAAAGCCTCCCCCCAGCACCCCTCCCTCACCCCAAAAAGAGGCAGGGCAAGGGGAACACAAACTCCCCAAAATGCTCCTTTTCCCGATTCTGAGAATAATGTCTTGGATCGCTTGGTTTTAATTTGATATCAAAATTATCAAGATTTACAATCCAGTGGCCATTATGACACTGGGCAAGAAAGCAACCTCCTTTTTAGACAACATTAGGGGTATTGTCACCACTACTAATTAAAACAATGTCAAAATATATTAAATATGTTCCACCTTTTAAACACGGAATGACCATAACATTTTGCATTCATACTACGGCCTAGAATACCGATTAACGTTTCTGCTCGTCTACTAAAAAATGCCTACTCACTTTATCCCTGGGGGATAATTTACCTTTCATGATCAACTATACTTCGTGGTTAGATTTTTAGAAACCATGTTTAGTCGTCTGCAACGAATTTTGATTATTTCTGTCGGGGACTGTACACCTTCTGATTAATTGCACCATCGATCAGCCGACGTCAATTGGATCTCTCATTGGTCACACGCCTACAAGTTGAACTTGAATGTCATCAAATGTCAGTTTTTTTATCATTACTGGCCAGCGTACATTCTGGTTGAATCTTAAAATTCTGTTCAAATTTGGAGAATGGTGAACAACCCCCGCCCCCGTTTGGGGGGGGGGGGGGGAGTCAGCGCGGATTCTGGTGAAAGAAAGCCTTGAGTATATCTCTTATCATCTGAACGATTCACCAGACAAAGCGTTGACGCTCTTTATGTTTCTTCGATTAGTAATACAGAAGTTTGAATTTTGTATACTTTATTTCCAGAATCAACCAGCCTGGGAACGGGGTAGGCTATTCTTAATATCCACATCCTAGTTTTTTATCATCTGTGTTTTGTATTCTTTAATCCGTGATCTCAAGCCACATTTGTGCAACCCTAAATGGCAAATGTTAAACACTCATTCAAACTTCAACAGTGATGATTGTACACCAATCTACTGTGGTCCGATTGGCAGTTATATTTTTTTCAATTGTTGGAATGTTGATGCATGATGTTTGTTGACTGTCACGAAGAATTTTCATAAATTTGTCTGACACAATCCCGTGGGAGCCAATGGGCTTAAGCTGAACCAGGTATGTTTATGAGTAATCATTTACCTTACGCTGGAAAATCCTCCTGGGTAATGAAGAAAAAAAAAACACCGAGCAAAACTAGTCAGAATTCAACTTGAAGTTCTGTTTTCACCTCCCGTACAAAAAAACCTTCAAGCTTTGACGGAGTAATAGATAAAGGGTTAACTGCTATTTTATAAGTCCCAGGAAACTGCTTAACCCATTTGTAGTGCAAACACTAACCGCGAGTGCTGCAAGAGCGACCATGAACGGCTGTGCACTTGTCCCCTAGACCCCCTGAGAGAAATCATGAGTAATACCTGATGTCAGTTGAAGTCTGGGGGGCGGGGGACTTAAGACCATGGAGCCCTGGGGTCTCCCCCTTCTGTGTCTGTCGTCACAGGATACGATCAGTCATTCTATGCCTAAGGATCTGTGGCAGTATATGGAGGGGGGAGGGGGGAGGGGAGAGATCATGACGTCACCGTTGCGATTTGCCCATGGGCATGTTGGCACGGGGTGGCAGTATAATAGACAGTGCGTGTGGGTTCCAATAATGTGAAGCAAGATCGAGTCATTAAATGGGAACCAGACCGACTTAACATGCATGAGAATTAAAATCAAGGGAGGTCGTTCTTTTTAAATATTCTCCCGATAGAACAGGTTAATATGACTCAAGAGGGTTAAACAATTGCGCGAAACTGTATCATACTTTAGTTCAGTTAATTAACGAAACATTCAATGTAGTCAGATAATTAACAAAGAATTAAACCGTTGGAATTCTTCAACTTGTTCAAATCTAACACCAAATCACCACAGTTTGGAAAGGTTAAGGCAAGGTAACTCGCCTTCTGCTCCTATTAAAACAAACCTTTCTCGTAACTGACGCGTCAGTTTGGGTCCAAATCAAATCAGACTCCTTTTTAGTCATCAGGTCGACGCTCTATTCGATAGTGCCGTCATTTCGTGGTATGATGTCCGATGATGCATGGGTAAGGCCCAGTGTAATCATGAAGATCGTAATCTTTGATGGTCAGATCGTATCGTTGCTGATGTATGATTATTACTCATAGCTCACGATCGTAACAATCGTATCGTAACATTATTACCAAGCGGTGGCAGAAAATCGGAAACCTCTGTATCGACAGTCTGTGATGTCGCTTACGTTTGTAGCCAAAAAAAGATCCTCCAGACTTCAATGTGCCGACTTTCCAATGTCTTGAACTCTTTGGCGACATCATGAAACAGTAGCTTTAGCAGGTGCCTGGCTCCGCGCGCTGGAACCGAAGTTTCTCTTCGACAGCGTCACGCATTGCAAGGCGCTATCGCCAAAGCTGAACCCAGTGTGTGACAGGTGTAAGGCTCCGAAGTAAACGATTACAATCTCAACAGGTACATTGGGTCGCCTTGACAGTGATGATCATTACAAGATTAAATTCCAAGAAAAGACTTAAAGCTAAATTTCAAAGCAACTTTTTTTTTTCATCTTAAGAAATGCTCATTCAAGAATTGAGATCTAGCTATATATACGTAGTTTTTTTTTAATTTTTTTATTAAACAATGATTTTAATAAGGCTTTAACCGTGTGCAGTTGACAAGCGTATTAAATAGGGATGTATATTAATGCCCTTAATTTCCCCCAGTGTGTCCTTATATTTCATTATCCAAGTTAGTAAACGGCAAGAACGAGATGTAACCTGAACTTAAGTTACGCTGTGTTCTCGGCAGACCGAACCTATACCAAACCTTGTTCCTTTAACCCTTAAAGCCATATCTCCTTTTCATTCCATTAATCCAATCAATTAATCGGTGCTCGTTTTACTTCACAGCTTGCCCGCAAGGATGCAACTCTTGCTCCCTGTTCAACGGCTGCATCACCTGCAAGCCTCGCTACTTGCTTCTCCTGCACCGTAGCGGGATGAAGCAGGTTGGTTACTGCAGGAGGACCTGTCCGCTTGGCTACTATGCTAGCCGGGGAGGCGACATCAACAGGTGTTCCAGTAAGTCAATCAATTAATTAATTAACCCGCTTTAGTCATTAACACCTCGGGCATGCAAAGACTGTCTCAGAGTGCACAAAATTATATTCAGTTGATTTAGAATGGCTATTCACTGGAAGTCTTTTCGTGCATTTGGTCGAAAGCACTGCCCGGCTCTTACGTGACAGTCAGTCAGTCAGTAAGTCAGTGAGATGTGTACAAAGAGAACTTTACCTTGCCCTCTGGGACCAGCGAAGATACCTACACTAGGAAGTAAGGCCTATATTTTGCTGCAGAAGTAGGCCTACATCCAAAATAAACTCGATGTAAGTGGGGAGTTATCTAAGGGCCAATTTCACGCGGCTCTTCTAAGCAAAACAAATTGCTTAGCACAAAAAAGTTTGGCTTTTAAAAGCAGGTTACCAGCCAAAACTCCATGTGAAGTATATTGCTCGTGATTATAGCTGTTGTTTGCTTGGCATGAAAACCACATTGAGTTTTGGCTGGTAACCTGCTTTTGCCAGACTTTTCTTGTGCTCAGCAAATTTTTGTGCTTAGCAGCGCCGTGAAATGGCGTCCTGTGTAAGTCACTTATCTGGGTTTATACCATACCTAACGCCATAATTACACAAATCGTCGCAAAGACAATAACTTAAACATTCTTGTGGGTATTCTCCTCGCAGATGCCAACTGTAGAATAAAAAAACACTGAAATCCATGAATATCTTAGAGGGTTAAACTTTCATTACGTATGGGAGTGCGCGAATTCTTGGATTTGCCCCCTCCCCCGCTCTCCCTACGACATGCATGTGAAAGATTCGAGACTAGAGGACCAGAAAAAGAAAACACGTCAAAACTTTTCAAAAGTGTCCAAAATCTTAGTAATAATTGCTGGCATGCAATAACACTTAATTAACAAACAAATTAGGATATGTCTGTGAAATTTGATATTTCTGTTTGTTTTCGCTGTCACGCTAAGAATACTTCCCACACCCCCCAAAAAGGATCACGCAACTTCAATTAAAAAGCCTACTTTCGTGGGGACTGTTTGGCACAATTTTCACTGTTATCTCCCAGAGCACAAGGCAATTTTGGTCAGCGGCTTTGCCCTGGCGACATCTAGGCCAGTCGCTCAGTCAGTCTGCCCGACTGGCTAGCCGGTGACAGAACCAATGAAATCGACCGGGAAATAACAGGAAATAGAGGGCGGTGTTTTGTCATTGGCAATTACTGTCGTTGCTCATGTGAGCCGTCTGGTTGTTTGGGATCGTGGCGTATTACTCGAAACAAAAAATACCGGCTTAACATGAAATTTGGAGAAATTTGGTTTCTTTCACCTTATATGGACTCTAACCCTGTCACCATGGGCGTCGCCAGGATTTTTTCTAGAGGGGGGCCAAAACATTTTTTGCCAAAAAATGCCTGTATTTCTCAACACATTCTCGATTTATCAGTTTTAGAGGGGGGCAGGGACATTTTGCCCCCCCCCCCAACTCATTAAATTTACACCACTGTCTTCGCGCCTCTTTTTTTTTTTTTTTTTTTTTAGGGGGGTTGCTTTTCCGGGGGGGGGGGGGCAAGTGCCCCCCCCCTTGCCCCTCCCCCCCCCCTCGCGACGCCCATGCCTTTCACGTTCCCACTACACCGACATCTCCTGTGTTTGAGAACGCTATAAGAGTGAAATCGGTGTGATGTGAACTTTGGTAAAGAGGCCAAAGATCCGTCCGCCGAGCTCATGAATAAGAGTTCTGAGAACATGAATCAGAGTTCTGAGAGCCACGGAATTGGAGAATTTAAGAGATATGGCAATGAACCTCTGGCCCGGACGTGAGGCTTCCAATTCAGAGCATTTCTGATGCAATAGGGCCCGAAAGTGGCGCTATTTAACCATGTTGTGGATGGATCCGTTTTCAAGATGGCTACGGCACCTTTCCACTATGGCAAACATCTCTCGTTTTAGGGGTCGTCTTCTTTGGGTGAGAATTTCTCGAAAAGTCAAAGGTCAACCCACGAGAAATTGAAAAAACAAAAAAGATGACATGTTATTCATCATCTTTCTGTGCAGCCTTAACACCTGTGAGAGTTCTGAGTATTTTAAAAAGAATTTTGAAGTATGGCATTTAGCACTGGTGTCTATGGGAATATTAATACCGGGGTGCATCCCTTATCACACACCTCCAAGATGACTGCAGTGCGAACGATCATCCATACAGAGCCTTCTAATCGTCTAGACTCAATGTGACTGTCATATTCAAATCAATTTCAACCGTCAGAAACAATCATCTTTGAAGTGTTTATGATTCATTTTCTGCATATGCTTCTTTTTTTCCCGACCAGAATGTCAGGTGGAAAACTGTGAAGACTGTTTCGCGCGGAACTTCTGCGTCAGATGCCAGTCTCCGTACTACGCGCATGAAGGCAAATGCTTCACAGTTTGCCCAGAGGGAACGTGGGGCGACAGGAAAAGCGGTGATTGCCTCGAAACAGGTAAAGAACCGCAGGCTAAGATGAGTCGCTCGGCTCGGTAGAATAAAACAAAACTGGGTTAAACTTCGTGGTTTCCCAAACCTGGGCTACTTGGCTCGATATGAGCGAGTAATTTTGAACCCGTAAGGGTGTCATTTTGTCGTTATTACACGAACAACTGTCACTTTGACCCAGAACAATGTCAGGTCAAATCTGACCCGGATTCAGGGTCGAATCTGACATGGGTACTTTTCAGAGTGAAGGGGGAGACCCGTTGTAAAAATGTGGTATTATGGTCTGAACACTAAACTTCTAAGTCATTCTATACATTTGGGGTCAAATTTTGTTTAGTGTCCCTGTTAATCTGACAAAAGATTTTGTAAATTCAGAGCACATTCTTTAATGCCTCCTTCCTCCTGCTAAACAAATAAATAATAGTTTGAAGTCAAGTTCAATGACATTTCCGTGTCAAATTACACACAAGTCAGGTGTAACAGGGGTGCCAACATGTCCCAATTTTGGACCCCAAATTTATAGAATACTCTCTAAATTCCAAAGAGTGAAATTAGGAACTAGACGTTTTTAGAGTGAAAATCACTCTCATTTTCGATTGACACAGTCTGAAAAATGAACCACTTCAGTTGAAGCTCGAGTGAAACCTCGATCTTTACGATTGAAGAAATTTCACTCTAAAACGTCTAGTCCCTAGTTTCCGACTGTGGGAGTAAATCTTCACTCGAATGGAGTGAATTTTCACTCTTTAGAATTTAGAGAGTAACCCTTCTTTCAAATCGCCACAGTTCATTGCGAGGTATCGGAATGGGGAAGCTGGAGCACGTGCCGCAAGAACGGCGCGGACTGCGGCTACAAGTGGGGTGAGGAGACCCGTATGCGAGGCATCATGACCCAAGCAACACCGGGAGGAAAAGCCTGCCCGGAACTCACCGAGACGAGAAAGTGTCGTATACTGCAAAGAAACTGCCCAGGTAAGAAGCTCAGAAAATGAAGGAGCACCGTGGTCCAATAGTTACGGTGTTCGACCCGTGTGCCATGGTACGTGGGTTCGAATCCCGACGGGCAGCGGCGGTGGAACGGTTTTCAAACTGGGGGCATCACCAAAAAAGGGACACTTTTTTTCACCGGACACACCGAAATTTTAGGGCCAGTTTGGTTTTCATCTCGAGGGGGCACATTAATGCTGGAGGGGGCAAAAATTATGTCCGCAAAAGGAGCAATTGGGTAAATCTGGGGGGCAAGTGCACCCCGCCCCCCGGTTCCGTCGCCTCTGCTGACGGGGAACATGGTGCTTGGGTTTTTGTGCAAGACACTACGATTGTCTCCTTCCACCTGTGAGGGTAGAGACCTGTGAGGTTGGAGACCACATTATGCATGCTGACCTCGAACTGCTGCAGAAAATTAATGGTCTCTGGCCCGATGAACAGGGGTAATAATTAGCGCTTTGTACCATTTGGCAAAGGTTCTTTATAAATACCAGTTATTAAATTATTTGTTATGAAATTTTGGAAGAACAGCAAGTTGTGAACGCGAGTTCTAACGGTCTTTCATGGAAATGCCGATTGAGCCAAGCACGATGAGTCGCTTTACTCAAAAAATAAGCTGGACTCAAAATGTCCAACACTCAGTTTTGGTTCAATATCGGGTTTTGGACATGGGGCAAAGGATTAGAAAAGCATGATCAACCCTACCCCAAGTCGCGTAACTCGAAATGGCGTCCCCGCTCGAAGCCTGTGCCCATTGTGTCCCCGCTATAAATATGGAACAAAAATGGCTTTACATTATTGAAACTACGTGGAAGAACATGAGGGTCCCTCGGCCCTAGATAGGCCCCTCGCCATGAAACTTCGTCCATCTCAAATCCATTTACGAGTTACTGGGGATGAGCAATAACAAAGGAATGTTTTTGTCAAAGTTCAATTGTTACTTTACTTGACACTTGATGACTTGTGTATGGACTTGAGGTACTTTTGGTGGACTCGACTTACAGCACTGCATGCTTCTCTCCCCACAAAAAAAGCAAGTTGCAGAAAAGAAGTCTAATACAATAATCATCTTTAAATTTCACAGTTGATTGTGGAGTGTCCGAATGGAGCAGTTGGAGTCCATGCAGTAAGGACAGCGCCGATTGCGGCTATAAATGGGGCGAGGAGACCCGCGTCAGGCATGTTTCTACCCCACCCTCAAACGACGGAAAGATGTGCCCGGACCTTACGGAGACAAGAGAGTGCCGCATGCTGCAGAGACACTGCTCAGGTATTGTGCCAAGATATCCTTCATTGTCTTTTAAATTATTATGACAAAAATGGAAGGACACACCACTCGAATTATTCATATTTGGCTAAGTGAGGTTTTTGGAGTTCCATGCAAGATTATAGTTTTTCCTCTCATAATTTGGTCAACTTGTGTCAGCAGATACCTTCTCTGACTTATTGTCTGATTCCTTCTTTTTCTTGTGTTCTCGTAGCCGCCATCTTGAGTGGCCTTTGCCCTGTGGTGGCGATCCCATCATTCCGATTAACAATGAATATTCAAAATTAATAAACAAGCTGCAATTCGGAGAATTTTGCAGATACACCATATGAAGTGACTCTCTCTAAAAAAAGAAACATGGTCCAGGGTCAAAACAGAGATGTTGTTGAAACAGAAGAACTAACTCGGCAGAACCTCCTATAGACCTTTATCGTGCTGCCACCATTTCAGTAATGTTCCCTGTATCCAATAGCAGCACTGAATGATAATGTTTTTTTGTGAAAAAGGAACCAGACTATTTGTCCTTCCAGCCTCACTTTGGCTACATTGATTTGAAAGGAAAAAGTCAAATGGCTGCAACACGATAAAGGTTTATTCTTTATCTCTCAAACATTGACAATACACTTGATACTTGGTACTTGGTTGGTTCTTCTCCTAAGGACTTCCACAAGGGAGAATAACTATATAGGAGGCCAGAAACACCAGGGCAAACCCCTTCTCTTAGCGATAAGTGTTACTGGGTTCTTTTACGTGCGTTAGGCCCTATACAACACACGGGACCTCCGGCTTAACGTCCCATCCGAAGGACGAAGCAATAATGGTTAAGTGCCTTGCTTAAGGGCACAGGTGTCCGGGCCCGGGCTCGACCCCACGCCACTGTTGCCTCTGAAACACCAGAGCATGAGTCCGGTACTCTTAACCGCTAGGCCACGACACTCCACAAATACACAAATTCATTATTTTCTGTAATTTGCCATTTTCCCCCCAGATGATGAAGCCGACACAGAAACAGGTAAAAAGAAAGGAAGGAAAAATCGAAGGAATAACAGAAGAAGGAAAAATAGGAGGCGGGACCGACCCCGAAAATCGCGCACGCACAGTAGCACTCAAACGCAAGGGGAAGGAGAAGACGTCATTACCACAGAAAGAACTAGACTTCGGTCGAGAACCGAGGACCCCGGGGTACAATCCCGAGAGATCTCACGAGATTTACCGACCGATCTGCTTTCCATTTGATGCAGTGAGGATTCGTCAGCGATTTAATGGATGGAAAGGACTCAAGAGGGCGCTGTTGTTGAAAACGATGGCCGCAGGAGAAAAAGTGTTTTGTGGACACAAGATCGTGGACACCACAGAGAAAAGAAAAGCGAGGATTCAAAAGCTTCGGGAGTTTTTGGCTCGAATGACAACTGGGCAAGTCTTGTGGAGATCCCCCTACCACGTTTCAGTGTTCTTGTTGGATTGACCTGGGGTCAAGTGGCTGTTACTGTTTCCCTTCCAGCTGTGTAAATGAATAAATGATTACGCGAACCAGCTAAAAATCATGGCTTGCATTATTCATCAGGTTGTGTCATTGTACGAGACCCTTTTAGGACATGTTTCCTGTTTGAAAAATTGTCCTTCGTGCGTCTGAATTTCAGATGCTTGAATTGTTATCCGTAGAGGACGCGTCTTCGCGCGTCTTCTACCGTTACATCTGTAGATAAGGTTGCCTAAAAAGCATGATTTAAGTAAATATCTCTGATATGCTCATTAACAAATCAGTTATTGAATGCTCTACATTAAATACGGTCACTGAATTTAATGTAGTAAACAAAACACAAAAGAACTGAACAATTCGCTACGTAAATACGTATCTTTGGCGCTTTCTCCCGCCCAAATATTGAAACTGACCAATATTCACGATTTCTTCTGGCACGTTTGGCTTCGACCAAATCAGAAACCGGAAGTATAGCCAGGAGACTGAGTTGTTAATATTATTTTTGTTCCTGGCCGTTGGGGGCGCTGTACACACCTGACAACGTAGAAATTACGCTTTAACGATCGAGGAGATATTTAGTAATTGTTGACCGAATAAACGGGCACTAGCGAAATGCCATTCTCGCGCAATTTCCAAGCGAAACTGATGCGAGCCACGATTTTTGTTTAAGACCACAAGAACACAAGTGTGTTAAAGAAAATAAACTGGTAACGAACCGGCGGTGCCCTGTTGAAAAAACAAAGGCATGGAATGTCTGTGGCTTACTGTTCGCCCTCATGTTTAAGCATTGATGATCTTCTGTTGATAAGTAATATCTGACTAAATAATTGCTTGAATATGCTCAGTATTTATTTGAAATGAACTGAAAACTAAATTGAAATTATTTTGTTTCACATATTAAAAGCGTCTTGTACATTTTACTTTAATCGTGTATATTAATAAAATGCAATATTTTCTTGGAAAGTGACAAGATGTTATGGTACAGAACTTACTCATTTGGAGTCATTGATATTTGAGTCACTACGTTTCTGTGTCGACCAGAGGTCTATCTTTTAATGTAAATTATACCGATACCTATTTACGATATGTTTCAATGCATTAAAACCATTTTTTTTTTATCATATGCAAGATATTTTTTTGCTTAAAAATAAAGCAAAAGCACGTATGAACGACAACATAACTCGTCACATACCATCATGATGTGCGTACCGCTCCCTGGAGCTGTCACATGACAAAATGGTGCATAATTCGGGAAAAAAAACCGAAAAATATTTACTGCTTGTACATTTTGACACAAACATTTTGTTTGTATTGTGGGGGACGGTGACACACTTTTATGTCCTTGTAATGTCTTTCCTTAATGGCTTATTACAATGTCATAGAAATCAGTTGTCGAGATATATTTCACTTCCATTGTAACATCGTGCAACCGGAACCCAGGAGTGGAGAAATAATGCATTAAGACACAATTGGTTGCAACTCGACAATGCAAGAAAACGTGGTAAGTGCATGTACCGATCGAGATTGCTCCCGACGACCGTTCGTTGATAACCCCTTCCGACTAGAAATACTCCTATATTGATCAGGGCTGGGTCCATAAATGGATCGAAATAGGGTCTAGCTGTTTAGAGAGGGTTTAGCAGGCATGTGTGATTTTCTGTTCACTTTTTATTATGCGGCCCAAGAGGAGGGTTTAGACCCCCAACCCCCACCCCCAAATCCCTCAACCCCGAGCCCCCACCCCCACCCCCACCCCACCCCAACCCCATCCTACCCACAACCCCCTAACCCGCCAACACGCCAACCCCCTCCCCAACCCCCATTTAACCCCCACCCCATATCCGCCAAGGCTGTATGTATTCACGGAAAACCAACACAATAAACTCTACTTCAATGAAACAATATAGTTTTTGCCCTCAGATTTATAATCATTTTAGAATGATGTGGAAACGATGTGGTGAAAGAATTAATCTCTTCCCCCTCCCTCTCCCCCCCCCCCCCCCCAGATGTTGATGCTCACGCAACAGCCGTTGATTTTGACATTGTAATATTCTACACACACCCTCACCTTTTTCTAAAGATAGGGAAAGCAATAGAAAATGGTCCTAATTGAATTTGGGAGCCATCAACGTGGATTCTGTCCTCCCCGCAATGGCACCCGCGTGTTTTTTGTTTTGTTCATTCCGTTTCCGCCGACGCCAGCGCGTTTGGCTCGGCACACTCACCGTGTTTCGTCCAAATATCACGGCATCGATCGAACGGGAAGAGCCATCAAACGGTATTTGCCTCCCTGTATTACTGTGTGTGTTCCCTGTTCGTTGGTCACATCAGAGACATTATAATGAACTTCTTGAGAAGAAATCTGGTTTGTGTTAATGGAATCGGAAAAGGGGTTTGGGAAGGTCTGCTTGTGCATCCTTGGATTGTGTTCTGTACAGATGAAGCATGCTTCGTAGACACAGAATTCATCAATAATATTGGTTATTTGAACTGAATGTTCGGTGTCAATTAAATTGTATTGCCACTACGTGATTTTTTCGATGGAAAAAAGTGGAGCAACTTATTCAAGCGAAGTAACATTCAGATATTTGCATCGATTTCTTTTGATTGACGTAGAGGCGAGGACGGACATATTACAATCAGTTCAACTTGTCCTCAAATGCCTTTACTGTCAAGTAAGACGTTTGCGTTTGATACTACCATTGGGAAAAAGCCAGGTTTTTCATCTCTTAAAAATACATTGATGTAGTGTAAACATGGTGTTTTTGAATACGCATTTTTACCACTTTTATGAAAGGAAGATGGGCAAACAAAACAAAACAAACGGTTAAACGTGTGCACTATGAAATGAATAAATGATCAGTTTTGTTTGCATTCATGACGTGTTAGTGCACAACCTTGAACACGGATATTAGTATAATTTTATTCAAAAATTACATTTGCGTACTCGTCAGTTGAATGTAGAACTTTCTTTGGAGTGCATGTACGCGAAATTTTTATGTGAAGCATAAAGTTGTATTTGGCCATGTAATGTCCGATTTTTTTGTCTAGAGATATAGCCTAGGTCTTTGACAATTTTTACATCGTGGGAAAGTGCTGGGACGTATGTAGCCGTTGCTGTGAACAACCGATGACCATGTTTGACCCTTGGGTCAAAACCCGCGCATGCGCAGAGCGAGCACCGCTGATTCGTAGCCGCAAAGAAGGCGTGGTTTAATAAAGTTCACCGTGACGTCACGCGCACACGCATGTAAAACGCCACAGTAAACCGCTTACACATACATGGAGCGGAAACCGTTCCGCACTGATTGCGTGCGTAGCAACTCTTCCGTTGCAATCTAGACACGGGATGCTGCACACAGCTGAGTCGTTATGGTGAGAGTTCGCGCGCCGGCCGACATCTAAGAGACTCCCTACCTCCCGCGCTGTCAGAATAAACAAAACCTTTTCATTGTGACAATTTTTTCGCCGAGGCTTTTTTTTCCCGCCGTGAAATCATGAGCTACGATCCTATACCGGGTTTAGGAGCTCCGGTGGCGCGAATTCGACACTTCGTAGGCGGGCTCCTACCGCGCGGCAAGCAAGACGAAGAACACCTTCACTTCGCAAAATGCGACTCCACCGAGTTGTCCGTGCTGGGCCCCGGGGAAGGGGACCAAGCACAACTGGACGGAGGGGCGGAGAACGGCAAACCACCGGTGGTGAATGGAGGGGTGTCGGCGGCCGGTAATCCCCTGGCCTCGGCCGGGCAAACGGGGCGGAGTTACGGAGAAGCTAGCAATGTCAACATCGCCAAGAAGCAGATATCGACTTGGGATGCAGGATGGAACGTTACCAATGCAATACAGGTGAGTGTACACTTTTCCCAAATTATCATCTTCCAAAACATAATTTATTACAGATGTTAGGCTTTGGTATTTACCATGCACTTGATGATGAGTGGTAATCTATAGTGGAGTATCGAGATTGATAGAACAAGACAAGTACATTCGACGTCCTCTCCTCTTCTAGTGAAGGAAACAAGAGCCACCTCTTAGATTGAGACGATCAATTTCAGGTTTCCCTGAATATGTAAAGTGTTGCTTTTCTACAAACACCAAACCTATAGACAGCAAACATAAACCTAATAGTAATTTATTGCTTCATAGTCAGGTATGAATATTCATTATAACAGTGCTGTATTCCTTAACAAGTTCCTGAAAAATACAGATAACTTGCCTAACTTCAAGATCTGTCCATTTTTTCTTGTTTATTTTGGTTTGTTAAGAAATTTGAACAGGACAAATTATTGTCATTATCTTCTATATATTACTTCCCGACTTCAGGATTTTTATATCGTTACGACCAACAGAGAAAACTTCATTACGTTGAATAAAGCGAATGAGGAAAATGCCTCTTCGCGGAGCTAGTAAGCAAGTGCATTCTTTCAGCTGAAGATGACACGAAATATTATAAGATTTCCAAAGGAGAAAGACATTATCGAACTCACAAAGCAGTGTTTTGAAGGATATGTTTATGGCGAACGTGTCCTGACTTTAACCGGTCAAATTAGTGTATAGTTCGACGGTGCGTTGGATTTATGGGGTCGAACATCGACCCGTCACGAAACTCTATACACGCGTCATCAGGTGAACGAGCGGTACAGACAAATTATTATATTAGTTTGTCCAGCATGACCATTTTGGTGATGTCCTGTGGATGCTGCACAAGATTATTATCTGGCCAAAAAGATTACCACTGATGTGAATTAAACAAGACTAGACAAGTCTTGTAAAGCTGGTCACAGAGCGTTCAAAATTCTATTCAATGGCTATCGTGGAATCCGGCGACCAGTATATTAGAAGATTTTACAGCGGTGGTGTCACGTTCACACGCAGGGTGACCCGTAAGGTAATGGCTAAATTCTGCTAGATGCACTTCAAAAATCTGCTAGATTTAACCAAAACCCTCCAAATAACATACAATTACACGAAATACATTATAAACACATACTCACATGCAGATGTGTTATACTCACATGCAGATGTAATAACATTTCCTTAAACAAAAAAACAAACAAATTACATGTCCTTTAAAAAATATATTATTATTATTTTTTATAATGGTACGTGTCTAGCCTGGCTAACAATGTCTAAAGTACTTTACTGTGTACTCGTACACATCAGGGAACCTCAACGCTTAGACTGGCCTACCTGTTCCGTTGTACGTGCAAGGGTTTGTTCGAACAAAATTGAAGCTTTTTCAAAACAATTTAGGTATATTTTTCAAATCTGCTCCTTTTTTTCTGTCAGAATCACCAATTTTGCAGAATTCGGCTAGAAATTTGCTAAAAATTTTCATTCTACCAGATTTTCTGTCAAATGCGATTTATTAAAAAAAAAATATTTCAAATCTAGCCGAAACTCGGCTAAAACTGTCACCCTGGCTCACTCGCATGCTGCACGAGGCGCATTTTGGTATTTCCTATAGGGTGCATGCCTCTGTTCCCAGTTTCCCGAAATCCTTACCCTACAAACCTAACACTTACCCTACCACTAGGCTTAACCCTAACCCTAATCCTAAGGATTTCGGGGAACATCGACATTGGGGAACATCGGGTAGACCCCTTTCCTATATTGGTCGAAGGAGCCCAGAGTGCGGGTAGTACACACGATCGCGACTCGCGCGAGCCTGGTGCCACCGCACAAAATGGCTGCCGCCGGATTAGTCTATTCACTGGAAGTGTTTTCGTGCACGTGGTTACTGGGTAATCCTAAACAATAGCACTGCCCGGGTCTCTTCACCATCCTACAACCAGTCTAAGCCACAAGTGACAGTCAGTGAGATAGGTACAAAGAGGCCGGCCCTCTAGGACCAGCAAAAATAAATATTATATAAATAATACGAAGAAACAATGGGCGAATTACTGAGCGAATCATTAAAGATATTCATTCAGATAACCAACTAAAAACGGAGGAGTATAGCGTCATGAATTTGGTCTGTTGAAACACAAATGTTGCCGGATAATCACGAAACATATTTTGACATTGATAAACTCCCCAGAGTGAGAAGGATCTAGATTTTCTGGTTGATGATTTCACTTTACCGTATCATGTTGTAAGCTGCACCCCAATGTTGAATGTCTCTCTGCCCGTTATAGTAAGAAAAATAAGGTTTACTTGAAGATGAACGCAACATGAGAATTTTCCGTCAGCTGCGCTCGACTTGTCCTGTTTTGCCCAAAACGGCAGAAAAACTAGCCTACTGTAAGAATTCAATTACGTAAAAATCTTGTCGCCTGACTGATTAACTTTCCTGCACATGGAGCGGCTACCCCTTCCATGAAATGGAGAGAAAAAACACGGTCGCATTTGCTCGGGTTATTTCTCATTTAATTCAGCTGACAATTTCCAGACCAATTTGGCGCGAAGCTTTGCCACCTGAGCCAGTACAGTTCGAGTGAATTTTAGACGGCCTCGAAATCCGTATCGCCGTGTAAATTACGCACGGCATGTTTCTGCGGACATAATGACCTATCGCCAAGGACGTTCCCGTGGGGGCGTGCCCACATAAATTGAGGGGGATGAGTTTACTTGAAAAAAAAAAAAACCTCTGGACGCAGGGAAGGTACACTTTAAACATTCTTAATGGACGCAAAACCATAGCACTTATATTAACGTTCATTTTCTCAATATGTGGTGTTCCATTCAAACGTGCAGCTCATTGCTCTCTGTTATCCCCCCAAAGAAATCTTTTCTGTGCGCTCATTCAGAACCCCTTGTCACCATTTGTGCACCCCTTGAGCAGACCAACTGCACCCCACATGTCCCCTCTAGCTTGCCCATGAGTACCCTACAGTACCCTACAGCACACTCCGTCCACTCCCTATACGTCATTTCGAAATCGGGAACCCCTATCATATCCTATACTCTGCTAATTTTAACCGAAGAATACGCCACGTGTTCTAGTTTTTGCCGCTCGAAGCTGGCAAGAAATCAATGTTTAATTTTCAAAATGCAAAAACCAATGTCTGGTATTGGACCATCTGTGTCTCAGAAGCCGAGGAAAACTGTCTACGCAAAAAAACAAACACGAGACGATTTTATCGACAGAGCCTGCTTTGAAGAGCATAGCATTAAAGGAAGAATTTTAGAAGTTTTTCTTGCGAAACTGTGTACCGATAGGTTTTACACAGGGGCAGGCTAAAGGAAGCTTAAATATGAATTATTAGGGCTAGTTGTATGAACGCGATACTTGATATTACGTCAGGAAATAGTATAGGTGGAATATATATTGAACTTTGTTATTATGACGGAAAGTTGGTGAACTTGAGAAAATTGTATCCACATTTGGAAAGAATTTGCCCAACAGTGACTATTTTGACTAATGTTGGACTCGATATACATGTATTAAACATTTAGAGTAACATTTCCGACCTTTTTGTCGATCGAGTTATGATAAGTTGTTTTCATTTTTAGAAGTTAATATTTGGGAAGACGGTTCGTATAAAGCAATCGCTTTGGTCCTCGTGGTTTTTCAATCTTTCTTGCTGAACAAACGTTTACACTATAATATAAGGTCACTGTAGATATAAGAGGATTTTTAAAATGCGATACAAATTAGCTGAGCTAAAATTCCCTCAAATCTCATTTATTTGAATTCATTATTCATCTTCCTAAAGTGTAGTTATTTATGGTTCGGTGATAATGTTCTTGTCTTCTCCTTGTTCGTATCTTCTGTGAATGCAATGTCATTATATTCGACACTTATGTTTGTCCACAGATAAAGGTTCAAAAACCTATATGCTTCACCCGTTTAAAATATAACATCTTTCTGTAAATTGTAAATGTTTAATATTACTCATGCATCTATTCTCTGGTGACTGTGCACGCACAATATTAATTAACTGTAGCACTGAAATTAATAAATTGTTTGGAAGCAGAGGTAGCCGTTTGTCACTCAAATTATAGTTACATCTGTCCTCCGCCGGCGCGGCTAGGTCCGTCTTTAATGACGTCAGAATAAATCAAATCAACTTTCATAATAGCCATAATTACATTAATCACTGCAGCGGGCCGCATGCAAAATGCATCTGTTAATAGAATGACTCGCATACTGACGACTTGGCCTTAAATGAAAAAAAAATACACTAGAAAATACACGTGACAACAAGCAGCACGGCAAAAATGTAGCTAAATATCGGTAAACAACTCCGTGTTCTTTGATTACTAATAATATTAAGGTTCTAAATTTTGTCGTAAACAGGATATTTTCAAAACAAACGAATTTACTACACCAATTATTCTTCTTCGACTTATCGCGTTAGAGTCATTATAATTTTGTTACCGCCAAATACGTGATATACAGAAAAAAAATCATTGTTGTTTTTAATTGGCAAAAAAAAAATTCGAATCTTATTGTGATGATCCAAAAGAATTGTTTACTTTGTTTCGTATTCAAACGATACTCATGTGCGTACATGAATTAAAGGGAGGCTCCTGTAATGCCATGTCGCAACAAAAGTAAGATGCGCCGCACAATCGAGAAAAGAAAGATAGCAAGATGTTTGGGCGCTGTTATGTTATAAAGTAAAATAAACAAATCGAAATACATTTAAAACATTTTTATAAAGAAGTTTATTTTCCTCTCGGAAAGTAACCGTGCAAATCCATAGTTAGTAAAATGTAGGCCCAATGGAGACATTTAAAACTAACATTCCCTATGGTGGAGTGTCGAGATGGATAGAACAAGACAAGTACATACGACGTCCTGTCCTCTTCTCCTGAAGGAAAAAAAAGAGCCATGTCTTGGATTGAGACGATCAATTTCTCATGTAAGGGGGAGAAGAAAAAAATCGCCAACCTCAGTA